AACTGATGCTAGTCATGTGTTGGTCACTGGTCTTCAAAAATGAGACAAAGGCATACGATAAAATAAAATCCTAGAACCTACTGAGAAACTCTCTAGAAAATAAACACTTTCCTGACACAAAGAAAAACATTTTCAGCAGTCTGTTGTTGTAACTGGCTACACTGTGTTATGTCTTGTGTTAAGAACATCTTTTAAAAGATGAGGGAGTGCTGACGTTTATGGAAAGTACGATAAGTGCCAACTCAAGTTCTTATACCCATAACTTCTAGATTATCTGTTCTGCCTAGACCAAAGGAAAATCAAAATACCAACGTGATCGTCCAAAATATAAAAGTATATTTCGGGACTAGCTTAACTAGCTAGGGATTTTGCACCAACAAACGAACTTAATACGACGGTGTACCAAATGGCGCGGATACTTGGCCACGAACCTTCAGCTAAACGAGTCGACTTGAACAGTTAAAAATTAGAGTCCAATGTTGAATGAAGAGTGCTGTAGGCTAATCATTTTGAGGAATTATTTACCATTATAATCTAAAGTTCTGCTCTATATGAGGATATTTAACGATCTGTCTCCAGCTCATAAAAGTCCTAAGTAACGAAATATGTAACATAGAGGTTTTTTGGTTGAGTACTGTAATCGATAAGGAAACACAAACACAAGTAATATTAAAACAATCAAACATCCAAAGTTTATTCCAAAACTAAAGTGATAGAAATTTTGAAAGTCATGCAAAGAATAAAGAAGAATAATTAATTACATAGGAGTGGAAACATGCGGTAAATTCGTATTATGCGAACAAACAAATAAGAATAATTTGAGAGAATTAATAGTGAGTCCAACTCATTAAGTGAAAGTCAATAAAACCAAAGTGTATTTCCCCAGTGTAGTATAATATTATTCTCGCTACCTTTCGGTGTACAGAGCTAAAGCTGATTTCATTCAGTTGCAGTATTTTTCACAAAATAAAGTGACCACGAATTTCTCGGTAGCTCAATTGTTTTGAACACTTGATTGAAATCGATAATTTGTTGTGTCAATCAGATACTTCATGATAGCATTTATGTAAACGCTGTTCCTCCTTTCAGGCATTATTTTATTCCTTTACGTTCCCAGGGGAACATAGGGCTTCAAGCTAGGGCTTTGAAGTTTCGGTAGCAGTGTTGTTTATTTTTACGGGATGGGGTTGCTAGCCTCATGCCCAACCTTACTTCTTTACCAGTCTTATTACTGGCTTGGCGACGTAAAGGAGTGCGTCGGCTTTTCGAAATATACTCATTCTTATTTGTTAACAAATGGAATTGGAACATTGAAAACACTTTCCCTTTCTAATTTTCCTTCCATTCCCTACGTGCCTCAAGTTTTGGGTTTGGAAGTTCCAGTAGTTCTGCTGATTTATTTTACTGGGTGGGATTTCTAGTCCAACGTCTAACTTTCCCCTTTTTTCCAGACTACATTACTAGCTGGTAAACTAGAAGTGCATCAACTGGTAATCGAACATAAACCTCCTGTGTGGCTAACAAACATTCAACCACTGAACCAACAGAACCCTCAGTTTTTAATACTTTCAACCAAGTATTCGTATTACATAACAAATAAAAAGTAAGATTATTTCCATCAGGTTCTCGAAAAAAATTGTTGATTTATGAGTAAATAATGGTAAAAAGAATTGGCATGATATGAAAAAAAAATATGATTTACTTGAAGTAAACTTCCGGTCTTATCAGACTCAGAGGATAATTATGGGAAAAAGTGAATTACTATAAAAATTAATCGAATTGTTGAATATACATAGTAATTAGCTTATAACTTGGTGAAAGTTTTCAAAATCTAGGCACCGGATTTGGGAAGTTTGTTGGGGAGTGATATATATATATATATATGCCAACTGAATGTTTTATTTTGTCTAAAAAATTCCTAATACGATGCGGATGATAACAGATTTGAAAAGAATATTGTCACCGAGATGAATCCTGTATTTATCCAGCTCACCTTCAAAGAAGATTATGCATCAAAAGAAATTACCTTTGCTACAGCATATTCGCCAGTTAGGTTCTTGACACACATAAACTCACTAGTGGAGGGAATAAAATTCATATTTGAAGCCGAAAATGAACAAGGAGAATTAGCTATGTTAGACTGTAAAATAAAACGAATAGAAGAAGGCAAACTACACACTAGTGTTTATAGAAAACCAACGCATTCTAATAGATATTTAGACTTTAATTCATCTCATCCTTTAACTGTTAAGGCAGGCTTAGTTAAGTGGCACTAAGTAGCACAAAAAGGACCTAAATGATGAAATAGAACAGACAGAAGAGGCGTTGGTGTTAAATAACTATTCTTTAAAATTCATTAGGAAGATTGAAAAAGGCCAAAAGAGAAATAAAAATAATTGTGAAACTAGTAATGATAACATAAATAAGAGAGAATATAAGTCATCTACAGTTATACCATATAAAGAGGGGACATCTGAGGTTGATTACTGAATCCTTGTTCATCGAATCTACACCCAACACATGCAATGGGAATGATTCATCACTCATACCCGAGATATGCAAAATACTACTACCAATCAAATCAAGTGAAAATCAAGTGAAAAACAACGGAACTATGTAAATGAATTTAGGAAGTCGTGTGATTACATTGATATGATTATGAGCAATAAATTGTTCTCGAAACGTCATCAGTAAACATTAATGTACAACACTGTGAGACTTTATCAAAACAAAATTTACGCATAATGGAATTACACTCTACCACAGTGCACAAGTTTTATTCTTATATCAATGATACTTTAAATTTAGTCGTGTTCTTTGCCCCTCGAAAGTGGACATGTATCCACAAGAAGTTATCCACAACTCTGCACGTTATACGTTGCAGAGAAAGTACGTTGGAAGAGAAGAAAGGCAGGCAACAGTTCGCTTATCGGAATCCGTTTCAAAGGCTTCCAGTTCCTTACAAGAGCCACTGGCTGATATCTAATCGAATCCTAGACGCTATATACATGTACCAACTACATTTACCATAATCAACAAGCAAAGAAATGCAACTTTATTTCAGTTTGTTGAATTTCTTGTTATCAAGTGGCTAAAACCCAACATGTGTACATAGAAAAAATCTTCATTTTATGTCATTTTACACTGAGATTACGTAACTATGTATTCCACTTTTCATTCCCTAATATCTTAACTGTTACTATTGTTACTACTGTCACCTTTTTTAACTCACTAACCTTAATTTCTATGACTGATTTCAAGTCACTTCTAAATGCATTTCAGTATATTATTACGTAATCTTGTTGCCCTTGTAATTTACTGGTTAAATAGTATTATGTTGTTAAACCAAACGAATTAAACTTCTTTGATATTCTCCCAAATTTGTAATAAATGATTACTTTTGTGTCAGTCCTAATGATTATATCATCACATTCTACACACTGTTGTCTAGTTAAACTACGAACTTCGTACCAGACTTCTTCCTAACGGTACATATATATGTATATGCATATGTATATCTTTATCTCCCCAATATTAGGCATATATTTTAGGCTTTTTATGCAGGTGAAGAGGAACCTTGAAAGAAAATGTGCATGTTTTGTACTGGAAAGTTTGGTGTTCTTGCGTTAACGGGAATGTTCAGGAGAATATATTGCATGACTCCTACACCGATTAAAAGAGAGGATATTTTCTGAAGTATTTCCATAGATAAGATGGTTATGCAATTTCTTAAAGAATTAATAATGAACGTGAAGCCTAAGTGCTTGTGACTAGATCGAAGTCATCATTCAGTAGTGCTTCCTAGAGGCGTACTAAGACAAATAACTGTATGAAACCAACTGCTGCATATTTTTTTATTCACATTATCAAACAAATCTACAGGGTGTTCGTTGAGACCTTAACACAACTAACTTTTAAAAGGGTTGTAAGTTAAATATTGCTTTAAATTCGCTTTTCGAAAGAAACAAAGGTTTTTTAATGGAATTATTTTAGAAAGAAAAAATTTAGGATAATTAATAATCACAAGGAATATAATTTCTTGACAACTTTGAGTTAAGTTCGTTTGCCTAGCACTCAGAATAAGTAAACATTTATTTCAGGATTTAATCATGAATTGGCAGAAGTTGGAATTCATGGGCTGGCCATTGGATCAGGTCCCAGTGGCTTAGTGGTCTACAACCTCATCTTGTAACCAGAAGGCTCCGGGTACGAATCTCAGTGGGTGCGTGCTGATGAACAGCCCAAGCCCAGATGAAACACCTGTCCAGCACTCCCAGGTTTTCCAATGGTCTTCTAAGCAATGTCAGTTCATCATTATTTATTATTATTATTGCTTCCTTTAGTTCCTAGAGGAACATGGGGCTTCAGCCGCACATCTCCATTGCTTTCGGTTCTCTGCCAATGTTTTCACCTGGCTCCGCCTCTGCCCAAATGTTTTTATCTCCTCTTCACATGACCTCCTCCATGTCACCCTTGGACAACCAACTCGCCGCTTCTCATTCAGATTCCACTCTATAGACAGCCTAGAGTGTGATGTTATTCGAGGGTTTTCTCAGAGTATGGCCAATCCACCTCCATTTTTTCCTGCTTATTCAATTCATCATAAAATCCTGAAACCAATCAAATTTCTCCAAACAAACACTTAAAAACATTTATTTATTTTTCCTTCATTCCTAGTGAAACATCAAGCTTGGGCTGTGAAGTTTCTAAAGCAGTTATATTGTTAGCTTAACACACCCAACCTTCTCTCTTCTCCGGATTGACCATCGTCAACTGAACAAGGCGAGGTTTAGGAGTGAGTCAGCTGACAGTCGAACCCGGACAGCAGGCATGGTTGACAAAGATTCTGTCATTAAACCATTAAACCAACAAATAAACATATATAAATATAGTCAGTTATGGACACATGATTTCACACAAAAAATTTAGAGTTAAAAGCACTATAAAACCTGAATTTCTTGGCTGATTTAACAAAAAGTTGGTTTGTGATATCAACTTACTGTTTCAGTCAATTTTACCTTTCTTCTCAGCGCAAATAGTGTAACTACTCATTCAAGAGTATTTTATGATAGATTATTCCAAAATATTTCATCAAACAATGAATTTCTATGTTTTGATATAAGATTTTTATTCCCTTATATAATGTATTAGTTGTTTTGTTCACATTTATTGTGATCAGAAAGTTTGTAGCTTTTTATACCTCCAGAGAGTTATGCATTTTCTTGTTTGAAGGCTTGAAAGGCTTGTCGATTCACACAGTGGTACATCCATCATTGAGAATGAATTTGTAACTAATCCTTACAAAACCAACTATAGAAGATATAGATAGATATAGGTCAAAATAGAAAAAGGGAAAGGCTTTCCCAATCATTTCGTTTTTCTTTTGTATGCATATCTTCCTTCGCCTTGACCTATAAGGATCGTTGATTGTTCATGCATTCATTCATTTTAGCCTATAAGTTTATCCTACATATATATGTGTGAGAAATACAACTAAGGTATTATGTGTTAAGTTGTTAGCCTTTTTTTGTGTGGTTAATTGACTGATTAACACTCACTTTGTAAATTCATTTCAAGTTATTTACGCTAATTTTTACTAATTTTCAAGGTTAATTTAATGAAGTTTTGAAGTGTTCTACTAGAGTGTATTTAAAACTGTAAGAATTTGAGATTTCCAAATATACGGTGATACTAGGTTCACTGTTCTACTTTGCCTACTTCAGCTTGAGCAAGTGGATAGTATCTTCAGTCTTCCTAGAGTATGTCTGACTCAAAGTCTAGTTGACAGAAGATTTTTTCCAGGTATATCAGTCCTAAAAAACCTACAGAAGATGAGGAAGTACTAAGCAGATGTTTTATTCTAGTATTTCTACTGTTGAAAAGTAGCGAACTTGAAACAAATGTGCGTTTCACACATTTATTCCCCTTAATGAATTTGAACAAAGCAACAACTACAGTTTTAGCAGAATAAAATGGCACCATCTTTTATTTCGTCGCAATATTAAACACAATTCTGAACAATAATAATCATACATAATGGAAACTTTTCAGTATCTCGCATTCGGATGAAAAATATCCAAAGAAAGACTGATAACCGCTTCTTTCTGAAAGCACAAATCAGGTTTTAGGCGTTTGATGGAAATGGCTTCAGCAAACCTAAGGAGAATTGAGCTCTTTTGCCTATTGATAATTTTGAACGACTTTTTGACGTCTACCTCATGACCCATGTCAAGAAGATGCCTAGCGATGGCACTGTTTAAAGCATTTGTTCCCTTTAGACGTAAGCTTTTTGGTACATGTCAGAAGATCGTAAATATGCTCTTCTTTCTGTTCTTCCAATGTAACTGCTCTCGCAGATACATGTAAATTTGTATATACAGTTGGAGTCAACATGAGAAGGATATCTATCGATTTTTGATTGCACCAGAGAGCAAATTGTTCGAAAGACGGAAAGGAGCTTAGCTGTAGGATAGGCTATGGCTAGTGATGTGCACAGCCTTCTGCTGATCATCGCTGCAATGTTTTCGCCTTTATAATCAAGCTCAAAGTATATTGGCTTTTTTCTTACTGTGATTTGTTTTACATTTTAAACTTCAGATCTTCCATACTTGTTGATGAACCTTTGAGGATACCCATTGCTCTTCAGTGTCTTTTCAAGAAACTCAGATTCTTCCTCTAGTTTCTCTGTAGAGCATATTCTTCTCGCTCTATAGTACAGAGTCTTGACCAATGCTGGTTTATAGCTATTTGGACAAAAGCTATTAAAATGTAAGTATTGTCCTTACCATGTGGACTTTCGATAAATTCGCTTTTGAAGACTAACGTCTTCTAGGCGTTCCATGGTGATGTCGAAGAAGTGGAACTTCCCGTCACTTTCATGTTTCATAGTGAACTCAGTATTGGCATGTGCGTCACTGAATAATCTTAGTAAGTGTGAAGCATGACTTTCATTTTTGCACACTATAAATGTGTCATCAACTTATCGAAAGTAGGAAGTTGTTTCGTCGATTGCATGCTTCAACTTTGTTCTTTCATCTGAATGCGTAATGCCGAAAAGTTTCAATTGTGTATGATCATTATTGTTCGGAATAGTGTTTAATATTACATACATATAAATAAAAGATGGTACCATTTTATTCTGCTAAAACTGTAGTTGTTGCTTTGTTCAATTGTGCGTTTGCTACATTTTTGTTTTTAATACTTTTGTAGGTGGCGTTCGTTTCTAAATTAATATTTGATGAACCTTATTAATTTGTTATAGTGTCCAGTACTTCCTGATTTTCAGTGGTTCACTAGTTTATGACGGAATCTAATCTGAAGTCAATAAAATACCTACAAGCTAACAGTTTAAAATCAATCCACTGCTCTTAAGAGACTGACAACAAAGTTGAATTACTGAAGTTCCAGTGAAAAGAATTGACTGGTGGAGTCCAACAAGTTGAGTGTATTCATGTACACTTACCGATGAAATTTTCGTCACTCAGCATCAACAACAAAATTCAGATTTTCAATACAAACGTCAAGTCAGTTCTTCTATACGGATCAGAAACTTGGCGGGTCACCAAGAATATTTCCAACAGCCTGTTGCAGACCTTTATCAACAACTGTCTTTGCTCTATACTGAAGATCAGATAGCCGAAAAGAATCACAAACAAGAAACTATGGGAACAAACAAAACAAGAAGCAATCGCCCAACAAATATGCAGGAGAAAGTGGAGATGCATAGGACATTCACTGAGGAGGCCACTGGGTGACATCGCGCGTCAGGCCAACGCTCGAGTGGAACCCGAAAGGGAAGCGGCGAGTGGGACTTCCAAGGGTGACATGGAGGAGATCATGTGAAGAGGAGCCAAAACAGTATGGATTAACATGGATGCAGGTGAAAACTACAGGAGAAGACAGAAGCAAGTGGAGGCGTGCAGTTGAAGCCCTATGTTCCACTAGGAACCCAAGGGAACAATAATAATAATGATACCGATGAAATTGGAAAGCGGTGGCGCTATTTATATATATCGTGAACTGACAGAGTTTATAGTTGGTAGGACTTTGCAATCCCTTCACTGTAGATGAAAGTTAACGTGTTCGCCTCGTAACTTTAAGGCCTTAGTTTCAGTTTCTGCTGAGATTATAGTCACACGCTGCTGAAGATCCTCATATTAGGACTAAACAACTATCCAATGCTTCCGGATTTCCAATGACTGTCTAACTTAAATCGGCTAATTCTTTATAAATCAATACTTGATAATTTTCAAAAGTTTGTGGAGATTTTATCACACTCCTAGTTCATTCAACATATTTATTTTTTTGTTATAATAAATACTGATTCTACTATTGTTACAATAGTATGTGATAGAAACTACTGATAGTTTTAATTTTTGCCTCCATTACATATATCCAGGTAAGACCTTCACAAATCGATATCAGTCAGGAAAATGTGATTCTTTCAAAACTACTAAAAGACTCGGTGGACCCAATTAAGCAAAATAATATAATTAACAAAATACCTTGCAATGACTGTGAGGTCAACTATATGGGTCAAACTAGTAGATCGGGGGTAGTCAGATTGTCGGAACATAAGAATTTAGCTAAGGTTAGAATGGTTGACCCCGAGAAGATAAGTAATTTAGAAAACAGCTCAGCGATTGCACTGCATGCATTAACACACAACCACACAATAGCATGGTGGGAGAGGGTTAAGATTCTAAGAATTAATACAAGTATGTGGAGAGAGAGATTGATTACTGAATCCTGGTTCATTGAGTCTGCACCCAACACATGCAACAAAAATGACTCAGTGCAAATATCAGAGATATAGAAGATGTTATTACCACCAATCAGTCAAATCAGAAGAGGATAATAAATGATCTCAAAATTCTATTTCAATTCAAGCACATCACAACATTCTAACAAGTTACTTATTATGACTATAAAAACACTCGTCTGATTTGCCATCTGATTGTATTTGATCAATAACACTCATATTATTATTTCTGATTGTACATTATCCTATATTGATTTTTATTCAAATATCTAGTCAATTTCACACATGTATATAAATGAAGTAAAAAGTTGTGTGAGTAAATTGATATGATTATGAGTGGCAATAGTTTGTGCTCGAAACGTCATCAGTTAATATTACTGTACAACACTGTGTGATTTATCAAAATAAAATCTTATCCATAATGGAGTTATGCTCTACCACAGTGCCCAAGTCTTATACTTATATCTACTAATTTTAAGCAAGGCATATAGTTAAACTTTGTTTGTTAGAGCAACAACTACAAAGAGACTTAGTTACATCTTGAGAAATAAATCCGTCAATCACAAATGGGATGGCTTTTGAGATTAGGAATTACCATAGTTTTTTTTGGAAGCCAAAAATATTCAAATCAGAATATGTGATCTACTTAATGCCATAAACGGCAATTAAGAATGCAACAGAAATAAGGTTGAGTATATACTACTGATTAATGTGAGTAGTTGGAAACCAATCACATTCGACAGTAGTGTTTACTAGCTAGATCTAAATACTGCAGGGTGAGTCAGTTCTATCTGGAGTGAGGGGTTTCTGGTAATTCATATCGATTCGTAGTGTGTACCATCAAAATGGTTGTTTTTTATTTATGTATTTCTGGAAATGTTTAGATAAACATCAACATCAGAAGACATTTTGTAAGGATCTTAGATGAAATCATATATAAGTGGAAGAATAGATAGCCCAACTTTCAAACAGGCCGCTAAGGTCATTAGCTTGTTACTCTACATTAGTTGATAGACATTTAAACTCATGCGAGAAATGGTCCAAATCTAAATCATCTTACCCTCATTACCTTGTCTATCCTCAACTCTTCCCTTGTATCTCACCTAGTAGAACAAGAAGTCAGTACAAAAGATTATTTGCTCGTACTACGAAGTATAGGAACTCAAGGATATACTATATTTGGTCAGTCCATGTTCTATGTGATAGAGACAATGTAAGGCGTGAAACTTATCAATTACTATGTTGTTAGCTAAATAGCTGGCTCTCTTATTATCTCCTGTTTGTAATACATGGTGACAATACCTCAATTAACTGACAGTCTTAGCTACTAACCTTATTATTATTATTTACAATTTTTGCATATATATATGGCTATATATAAGTCACTACTAATACCATATAAGAACCGTCATTACCAATCCTGTAATATTATGTTTTTAATTGTTTTTTATTATTATTCGATAAAATTAGATGCAATAATGTACGAAATGCTGAAAATCGCGCACTGTAACATGAGTACTGTTTTGGAAGAAAGTACATTATGATTATTGTTATTATTATTATTATTATGTATATCTCCAAACTCATGTCCGCTAAGAGAATACAGACTCGAACATATTTAGTTATTTATCAGTCAACAGGAAAAGTGTTCATTATCACCAGTGGGAGATAATATGCAAATGTTTTAAACAGCCCA